AATAGCCCTACTTTTGCTGAATAAAATGATATATTTTTTATCGTAATTTATTTAAAGAGAAGTTGAGAAATATTAATATCAAAATTCGTGTCCTACATTGCTGATCATTTCCCGATTCCAAACTTTTGTCCAATGAGTGTAACATGTACATCTAAATAGAACATGTGACCATCATGCACAATTATAACGGAATTCGCAAGAAATTTTTATCAGTTCCCGGTGGAATAGATGTGGAGGATCTACCAAGTAATCCGTGAGACTGTATGATCACGGGTTGGTTTCCAGTTAGTTTTCCGTTAATTAATTTTATAATTTCGTCAATCAATACTCCGACCCTTTATCGAGTTGATCGGATTCTCCAAGTTATGGCGCTAGTTCCTTCCTAATAAGGCAATTCGTCGGTCGCGGTGTCGTAGTTTCGTTATTTAGTGTTCGTAGCCTTAGGGTAGACTACTGTATTAATAGAGAGCATGGGGACAGATCAATAATGATTCGAGGAATGTATGCGTTTATTTAAGAATAATTATTTTATTTAATAAAAACAATGGTGAATTATTTTGGTGAATTATTTTATAGTTCTATTTAACTTAATTCTTAATTGTAATTCTACTCTAAAGCCCTCCTTATTTATAATCAAATTTCCTCCCACTATTCTCGTCGCGATCCCACTTTTATCGCTAATGAATCATTTTTGTTTTGATTCATTAGTCGGCGCCTTATTGGTACACCTTCATATATTCGGGATTATTGGTGTACTCTATATCAGACCATCTTCCCAACGATGCATCAATCTGAGACTTTGCATCGCTGCATCCGGTTGCATATATTAACTTGTACATTGTTAATTTCACTAATCACGAGATCTGATCCCGTGCCCAATTTCAGGGATCTACGTGATGACGTAGTCCAATGCAATGGTGTATTCATGTGCTTTATTTACCATAAGTTTCTGCAGTTAACAAGAAAATGTAACAAAACAGTGCATAATTTTGACAAATAATATTCATAGCTTATAATAAAGAGACATATATAAAAATAGGGAACCAAACAGGACTAAAGTATCAAGGGATAAACGAAAAAAAAATATACTTTGTACACGATTCCGAATGAGTCAGGTTTTTGCCCCTTAAACTACAAAATAAATTTTTAAAATAAAATATAAGTATTTGGTAAGAAACAAAATGATGACAGTACGTTAATAAGTTTTTGCCCTCCTTAAACTACAAAATTGATAAAAGCTAAGAAATTTGTATAAGAAACGAAAATAAGAAAGAGAGAATTAAAGACTTTGACGCTAAATCCCTTGTCTCTCATTGCAACAGTTTTGGTATTGAAGACTGCGGGGAGTTACGAATGAATTTGGTAACGAAAATTGTGTTGCTGGATTATATGAATCAGGAAATGGTGAAATATTTGGAAGAGAAGGTCGGACTTCTTCAATATTGTTTACGATTTTCGGTAAAGAATTATCTCGAAAATTTATTGATGGTAAAAACGGATCTAAACAATCACGAAAAGTTCTTTTATTCATAAATTCAAGAAAGTTCAAATGAAATTTTTTACATACCTGTTGAACTCGTATTATCTTTGAGCTCAAAAGGCATCGAACTCGAGTTCATTGGAGATACACGATTAAAATCTAATATTCCTCGAGAAATCATATGACTGCATTGCGGAGACTTTAGTAACGGTAATCCCGGTTTGAAGCCATTTCGAACGGTCGGATAATCAGGATTTGACTTTGGCAGAGATTGTGAATATTCCCTGTCAATGCGGCTGATTCTTGAAAGTCGTGATTCTATAATTTCATTATGTGCATTTTTTGGTGGTCCTCTTTTCTTGGTTGGATTTATAAATACGCAATCTAAATTATTCTTCATGCAGCGCTGGCAGCGTGGCTTCCCACTGCATCGCGCTTTACGATTTCTGCAGTTTTGACATGCAGTAGTGACATGTTTGCGAATTTTCGAAGCCATTATTTGTTAAAGGAATGCCGGAATATTTTTGTCATAAACGAATTAACTTTAAAAAATAAAAAAAGTTAAACGAAAGGAAAATACGGGGGGGGGGTTAACATGAACCTACAAAAAAGTCCGTGAATAAATATATAATTGTTTTAGTATATTCTTTTGTTCCATTTTGACACAATATATGTATGACATAAAGCTAAATATTCTACATAAGGAAGGGAACCACAGGCACGAAAATCCCTGAAATATATAATAAAATTGATAAGTGAACCTTATTTTTATAAAAAAAACCAATGTCAAAATCTTTCGTCCTTATTGGCGTAACCATTCCATTCAACGATAATGTATAATACATGTGTAGATTATGAAATAATATTCCCACGAGGTTTAATACGTAATAATTTTTTCAACTAAAAGACACCGTGAAAAAGATTATCTACTCCGATTGATTCTATTTGACTTCTTATGCGCGGATTAATTCACGATTGGCTCAATTTTCTTCAAACACGCGCGGAATAACTCACGATCGACTCAAATGACAAATCGCGGTATAATAAGTGATTGGTGGAAAATAGGGTTTTTCGTTTTTTCAAAAGTTAATTATCGTACAGTGGCGTGCAAAAATAACAAAAAATAACACACTACTTACATTGCTAACGCTAATCATTTTAATCAAATGATTCTCACCCACTTTTAATTCAATGAACACTCGGAGTTGAATAATACCCCCGTACTATAAAAGGGGGATATTTTACTAAGGGGATACTGTAGAGAACGTTATACTGTAATATGTCTATCTTTTTTTTTACTATTTTGCAGATGTTAAATCATCCCATTATTTTAGAGTGGGAATATTTTTGAATAGTACACTGGTACTAAATCTTCCAGCCAATCAGGTGAATATGTATTTTTTTTTTGCGTTAAAATGTCTATCTCTATTAAATGACATTTACTATCCAATTATATGTGCATCTAATAATTTTAAGGAATCCAGTGGCAAAACCCGATGGTCATATGATATTGCAATATAATACTCATCGCAGTATCTACTCTCTTGACATTCTTTACAATCACGAGAATTTGGTTCATTTTATATTTTAAGCCCCGTTCGAATCTATTTTTGAATATTTGGTTGTATCAGAAAACAAAAGTTTTTCAATTAAAAAATGTTCATTTTTTACCTCGTTTATAAACTCCAGAGCAATTTGCTTCGAACTGTATAATGATTTCAACACAACCTTACTTTCTCAACGAAATTAATTCTTAATTAATTCTTACCTTATATTAACGGTGTAAGTACAAAAATTTTTTAATTTGTAAATAAAGTATAGAATCTTACCTCTTTACTCTTTCTTTATATAGGAATTTTAATATAAAATTATTAGAACTTATTTGTTTTCCATTTCCAGCTCCATTGGAAATTATAAAAAATATTATTAACGTTAACTGATCGAACGATGGATAACAATATCAGGATTGTCATTTTACTTACGTAATGACGATTGTATTGTTTATGATATACAGGGGACTTGTTTCATTACAAATTGAATCAAATTAAAAAATTTTTGCGTTTTCCTCTTCTTAATCACAAAATTTTGGTTGCGTAAAAAAAGTTAAAATCTAAGAAACACGCAACTAAGACATTTTAAAATAGGATAGTCTGGGTATTCAAAAAGAGGAAAATGTAATAAATATCCTCCTATATGATCGATCGATAATGTAATTATTAATCACATGATTCTCACTCACAATGAACGCAAAATAATGGACATCAAAGATAGACATATTACATGTATTATGTCAGTTCGTCTATAATCCATGTCGATCCGCCAAAGTCCCTTTTTTTTGTTAACTTTTTTTGAATATATGAAACCAAAAAAAGATTTCTTAGCGTTCATTTTATCAAAATCAATTGTTTTTTAAAAATTTTTAAAAATATAGTGATTGATAAAAATATGAGTGTAAAGTTGATTTTTATTAATATAACGGTCTTTATATGATAATTAAACTTGTTTATAATATCAAGTTCTATAATATAACAAAAAATTTTATGATATTTAAATGCAAAATATTTATTTTATAGGATTTAAAAGAAAAAAAATTTAAATTTTTTTGTAAAATGTTAATAAAAAATTAGTCTATAATACTAAGTTTAACATATAATTTTTATGATAAAATATTATTTTATTCTAGATATTTTCAAGTTTTATAAGATTAGAATATTGTTTCATAAATTATATAGAGAATATAAATCTATTTTTTGAATTTTTATAAAAATAAATATATATATAGTCCAGTACAAAAAGATTAATACATCAGATAAATATTAATAGATTATTTTTTTAAAATAAAATTTTAATTCTATCTTATTTAATTAAGTTATTAGATATTGGAATTTATTTAAATATAA